ACCCACGTTCGAATTATCGCCACAGCAGAGTAAGTTGTTTTAGTTTCTCTCTTCCTTAACTTGTGAACCTTGACATTAAGATAGCTGTGGACGGCCGTGTGAGAGCATGAAGACTCTCTGTTCAAGTTAGCTTCTGAATTTAATTTTTAGTTTTTTCAAATTTAAAAGTTTAGTGCGTTTAAACGCATTGGCAACTAACGCGTTTAGCAGGATGTTTTTTGTCACATTTAGGGTGTTCAAATGCGTTAAATTATAAGGCCCTCTAACGCGGTGACTATCGACGCTGTGAAACGCGTTGATCAGTAACGCGTCTGAACGTCCGGAATGTGACAAAAAACATCCTGCTAAACGCGTTAGTTTCTATGAAAATTTAAACGCACTCCAACGCGTTTTTTTCTCAGAAAAAGTTTGCGTGGATTTCCTAGCGAACACCGACAGAAGTGAGGTGTTAGCCTTGTCTTGGATTCAAAGTCTTAGAAGGTCGTTCGCAGATATAAGTTCCTAAACTCAAGGGACCTAGCGTTACCTTGTATATGCTATATTACCAAGAAGAGAAGAAATTCGGAAATGAGAAGTATGAGAAAAAACAACGAGAGAAATTCTATAGATTTTTATGTCTTAGAAGCGATTTGGTTAGAATGGTTTCGTATGTGATTAGTGTGTGCGTGTGTGGCAGATGTTGGAATAAACGAATGAAAGCAAGACACATTGAAAATTTTCAATAGAAACTAGACCTAGGGGGAAAGATTTATGGATTCGAACTTGCTTCAAGTGCAAACGAAAAACTCTATCTTCTCTAACTTATAAGTATTTTTAAGTGTTAGGATTGCGTAAATAGATTTTATAGCGTAGAAGATTAATGTTTTTTTAATTATTATAGTGAATGTTAGCTTACATAATTAAAATCGAAGAGCTGTGCTTTGGGTTTTACAATAGCAAGTTCTGTTAAACTTCAGATTTTTGAGAAGAACTGTTTGTTATTTAGTAAAATCACTAAGTAGTAGAGTTCGAAGACTTATACATCCTTTGGTTTGAGGTAAGTTTAGATTGCGTATTTTATACATTATTTTTTGTTGTGATCTAAGATGAAGTGATATGAGTGAGAAGTATAATTCGTCGTTGTTCTTGCTAGGGCTACCAGAAAACATCTTGCAATTTAATAGATATTTTTTCTATATCTGTGATATTAAATTCTGACAATGAACGGGAGATGTTCGAAAGCTAAATTGTATTTTGAATAAATAAAACTAAATATTAGTTATCAACCCTAGTGAATCCTAGAGAACGTACTTTATGCAAGTACTTATCAATAATGAAAATACCTGCCTTATTGCTAAGAAGTACTTTCTGAAAGTAACTTACCTACAAGTAAATTTACTTCTCGAAAAAAGGCAAGTACCGGCTTCGTTGCGCAGACGAAGCACCTAGTCCAGTCACTTGGCCGAAGTACGTTCTCTAGGATGCAGCTTTTGAAGTAAATTTGCTGGCATTGTGTCAGCCAAGTACTTACGTTTTACTTGTCAAATACCTGAGAAAGTACTTGACAAGTAAATTTACTTAGAAAAGTCTACAAGTACTGTCCTCATTACTTAACCCAAGTACTTGCGTAAGCACTTGGCTCAACTATATTCACTAAAGAAGCTACAACAATTTCTCTTCCAGTGATATCAAAAGTTCCGTCATGCAATATTGTTACGTTTTTTTCTATAGGATCTTTAGAGACTGCCTCATAAGAGAATTGAAAATAGCAACAGATTAGTTCTTTTTTTTGAGTAAATAATCCAAAGTGTTGTCTTCTTGTTTATTAAAACTAAGACCAGATGCATTCAACTAAACGGTTGATGCTTTCACCTTGCATCAATTGACGGTCGAAAAAATTGATACCCATCATGTTTAATACATTTTACGTTGATGCAACAGAGTCATTATGACTCATATAGCTCGGAACAGTGATTACACAACCTAAATACCTTCCGTTGACCATCGATTTTAATTTTATCAAACGCCATATGTTCTTGCGCCTTTATTTATCCTTTTTCTAGTAACAAAGTGCGGCAGATGAGTACTATATCTTAAATATCGTAGTTCATTAATTACTCAAGACGGAGCGACAGTGGAATGCGTATGTGTACTTAACCCGTTTGTGCCCCAGACAAAATCGGAAGTGGCATGAAATTTTTTCTCTTATCTTTAGAGGTCTCAATAAATTTTGAATTTATTGATGAATTTTCAAGACTTATTCCAAGGATATGTAGTTTTTGCTTTGTTGAAAAGTAGAGAACAAAAATCATGATTCTGACCGTACGTTCTTTAAGAATACCCCGCAGCGCGATGAGTGAAATTTCATTAGCTTTAACCTGCTATATGATTCATTTCAATCGGCCAAATCATTTTTGTTTTATTAGCATTTTCTCGAGCGTATAAATATAAACATTTGGGCATGATAGCAAACATAAGCGAGTACAACCTTTTAGGTACTCACACTCATACTCGTATTTGCGACTTTATTTAATGCGTACTTGAAAAGCACTCGGATGAAAACCGGTTTAACTAAAAAAAGAGGAATTCAGAAACGACTGATCGTACTCGACTACAATTGTTTTGTACTCGTACTCATACTCCTACCCGCCACTAAATACTCATACTCGTACCCATACTCGAGAAAATGTATACTAGCTCACCTCTGCATAAAAGGGTTGATATAAGCTATTAGCATGTAGATTCTGATTACAGTATGATATCTAGAAACAATATCACTAACACAATCCTACTTTTAATTCATTGAAGGAGTAAGTTTTACGTCTCTTTCGGAGAAAACATTAAATAATAGGAATAAATGTTTGCAAATTATTGGCGTTCGATGAAATTCTGCTTATTGAGAATAAAACAGAAGAAAGTAAAGCTTATACATATTGGCAAAAGAATCAAAATTTAAAATCCAAAATTACATAAAACTTAAAAACATTTGAAAGTAAATCTTCAGAGATTATAGCTAATAATTGCGTTTAATGATAACTCATATACAAACTTTCGAATAATAAGTGTGATTATCTGAGATTGTTCTTTAAATATGAAGAGTGGGTCTATTGTCACATATTTGGTGTATATAAACTCATATTAACGGTTAAAACATTTGCATTCGTCTTTTTTTATGTCATAAAACTTAAATATTACAAATTGAATTTGGACAATGATTAAAACTATGATCGTCATTTCTTTTTTCGTTATTACCGTTTGTTTACTTTTTACAGTCAACGGTAAAAGTATGCGAAACATTAATGAAGTTGTTCTATTCGATGAAGAAGGTAAGTGAAATGAGTGGGTAGATTCAAAAATTTACGCTTTATTTTGTTTTTCATAGACGTTAAGCAAAGTAGAACAATTCGAGTTGAACTGGATGAGATATTAGAATCGATTCAAATACATTGGAGACAAGTAGCGGATCCAGACTTTATGAAAGTTTTTCCAGATCTTGATGAACTATTAAAAGCAATTAGTGAATTCTATGGAAAAAGTGAAAGCATTCTCGAACTATTCTATAAAGTTATACGAAATACGGGTGCAGACAAAGAAACTGCTCACAGACTGGCCAAGTTGATGGTACGAGCTTTTCCTGTAGCTGAACCAAAAGAAGATTCTACAGAAAGCGGTAAGAAAATTAGCTCATCTGTTCTCCATATATATGTTGTTTTCTTTTCCATTAAGATATCGAAAATCGTGGTGGCATTACATTAACTGTTCAAGTGATTAAAGCCGCATTAGATAAATATTGGAACGATATTCCCGAATGGATTCAAGATGATTTAAATTTGGATGATGTTAAAAAGGGCGTGGACAAATATGTTGCAATCAGTGATACGATCGAGGACATGTTTTATCAGATCGCTAAGGAGCAAGGTGCTAATGATATTGCGGCTAAAGCAATAGCAAAAGTGCTCATGGCTCTTTTACCGTGATTAATATTTTTTAAAATTGAATTTTATGGAGAATCCGATGTTTGAATAAACATTATTTATTTAAGAACAGTGGACTTAAATGAAATCTTAAATAATAAAGTTCATATTATCTGCTGGATTTTGACTTGTTGTAAACCCCGCTACAGAATAGAAATCCAGTAGGCTTCTGTTTTGCTCCGCAAATTATAAGTTTGAAGGTAGGTTTGTATTGAGATCGGCCTTTTTCGTGCTGCTGCGAGGATTATATTAGCGTACAAGTTATCTTAATCACATTTTCATTGATTTTCTTCTTTTATTATGTTTTTAACACAATTCGTGTGTTTATTACAAAAAATTGATTAATTCGATAGTGATTCAGTATTAGCGTGACAGTAAAAGAAGTGAGAACGTTAATATCGCTATTTTCTTTCACAAATCAAGACAAAACAACAAAAAGAGAAACGTCATCTTACGAGGGAACGTCCCGAAGTGATATACCCTGATTTTGTTCATACCTGGCTATTTAAATGTAATCAAGGGCGCTGATTACGAATATGATAGCCGTTTGTGTCCATAGACCTTTTCTGGCGCCTCTCCGGAAAACCGATTTTCGAGAAATCCCCTGAAACAACATCAATGGTTTTTCAACCTGTTGGAATTGTAAAAGCATACATCTTTTGAAGATATCCAAAATATGCAACTTTTCAAGGTCTACAAGAATGTGTATTAAACAGTAGAGAAATATATTGTATTGAACTTATAAATGATGGACACAGAATGCGTACAAAATGGCACTTGACGCCAATTTCGACATAATTAGAGACTTTAATAACTAGGATGGACTACATCCGTTTGACTTAAATTTTTTTCGATCAAAGTTACATAGCTGCTCAAAATTTATATCCCATTTCAGAGCATTAAAACCAACATATAGTCAAGAAATGAAAGAATTCCCAATTTTATCTGGTTACAAGCCATGTTTAGTGGTTTTAAAAAATTTAAAAATAAATTCTTAAATTACATTAATTTTTTTTGTAAATATGCATTTTAAAGTACATACTTTGCTCTGTCTGTGAGTGAGAAAATTAAGCTTCTCGCACTTTCCGTTCAACCACAACAGACCTCGATATTTGTACGGATACATATGCATCGTAGGTTACAGTGGTCGAGCTCAGAGCTGGAACCGGTTGAGAAACGGTGAACCGGTCCAGTCCGGTCGATTGGAATTATAACTCAAACCGACGAAAAACTGGCGAAGATTTTTTGAAAATCGATTTCCAGAAAGAATTCTTCGCAAAATGAAAGAGTTTCGAGCACATGTGAGAGAACCTTCTAAGTAACGAGTCTGTAACATTTAACCTTAAAACAAGTGATGAAAATAAAATGTCTTGAGCATCGTCTTATTTATTCTGTCAAATCCATTCACTGGAAAAGACGTGAAATTTTAGTTTTTTGAGGAAAAACAGGGTAAAAAGAGCAGATGTTTCAAAAGTTTCGACTGGTGAAATATCGATCTGTAGCAGCCTGGTTGTCTTTTTCAGCCAGTCCGATCCTGTCCGGTACCGATCCGGCTTGGCCGGTATCGGTTCCAGATCTAGTCGAGCTGGCGAGATGTTAAAAGATAATCCTGGATTCCGATAGTTGCATTAGATCAAAATTAGACCGTCGGAAAATGTCGAAAATAATCAGGATTCTGATGGATACTAACGGTTGTTTTTGATTTGACAGTTTTATAACAGTCCATACATTCCATGATTCTAAGCGAAGCCAATTTCCCCTAAAATTTGAGCGAACAGCAGTCTAGTAGCGACACACTAAAACTGCAGGACTGCATCAAATACAATCGTGCAATATACCAACGGTTCATCGATAGCAAAGTCGAAAATTGAATTTTCCAGAATATTTGTGTTCTAACATAATGAGTCTAGAATTCAACATGATGCGAGAAATTTAAAATAATTTAGAGTTAGTCACGGAAGATTTCAAGACACATTATGCGTACCCAACAATCCAGATCAACAAGATCGTCTCATACACGAGTTCAATCGCAAATTTGAACAAGCCTTCCAGAATAAAACAAGAATTAGAACATGGATGTCTGAGGACCAAATTTACTCAGGCAGTTATCTTACATTTACTGGCTTCGAATGTGTGATCGTCTGACTTTCAAATCATTGCAGAGGTGAAGTGATCGAAAATTCAGAGAGCAAGATGAGCAGTATCTGACATGATCCGTAGCTAGAAAAATACATAGGTAGATGAAGGAATGTGACTTGAGGAATAAGTTTCATGTTCAGATACCTCTCAAATTAAAATCCATGATAACACCGATATTGGAACGCGAGAAAAATTTGAGAAAAGGAGGAAAACTATTTAAAGCTAATGAAGTTCTGTAAAGAAGCTAATGATGTTTATTTTCAACGTCACCATCTAACTTAATTTCTCAACAACGGCAATATAAGAGGCGTGTAACATGAGAAAGTTTTCAATTTTTACAGTATGAAGGGCCAGCCTCTTTAATTCTCTATTGTATACCGAAGGCATATTATTTTATTATGGGCGCTGAACGTTCTTCAAACAACTTCATACTTATAGCTTGACTACTTCTAGCCTTTCTGAAGATATTCCACCTGCAAAAAGTTCCAAAAGGTGCCTCAGGCTTTTAAATCGGATCGGAAGTTCAAACTTGCAAGACTCGAAATGGATTGGGGATTCGGACTCGGACTGAGACTCGGCTTGAGTTTCTAAGGACCCAGACTCTACTTGGACTCGGTACCCCCTCGGACTCTCCCTATGCCTGTTCTTGAATATTTATTACAGTTATACGGCTTGTCCACGTAACGCGACACTTCCCCGACCAAGTTTTTTTGTTTTTCATCAGAAAATCGGTAGGAGCCCAGCACCAGACGTAGTTTTTAATGCTGATCACTAATTCGGCCTTTGTTTTGAAAAAAAACTAAATTTTCAATTAAAAAATTTAAATTTAAATTTTCTGATCTAGAGATTTTGGTAAAATAATTTTAGAAATATACTGTCGAATAGAGAATTCAATTCTCTACAAAATGGCTCGTTTTGTTTTCAGAAACATTTTTCAGTCGAGGCACAAGAGCTGCTTCCAAGTTTGAACTTCCGATCCGATTTAAAAGCCTGAGGCACCTTTTGGAACTATTTGCCGGTGGAGTGTCTTCAGAAAGGCTAGAAGTACTCAAGCTATAAGTATGAAGTTGTCTGAAGGACGCTCAGCGCCCTAAAATGGTTTGACAAAAATATACGAACAACGTTACGTTTGTTTTTTGCTTTTTTACACGAGTAAAAATAGTTAGAAGAAAATCTTTTTTACCGCTGAAAAGCTCCTTCGGACGGTACCGAGTCCAAGTCGAGTCTGGGTCCTTAAAAACTCAAGCCGAGTCTCAGTCCGAGTCCGAATCTCCCCAATCCATTTCGAGTCTTGCAAGTTTGAACTTCCGATCCAATTTAAAAGCCTGAGGCACCTTTTGGAACTTTTTGCAGGTGGAGTATCTTCAGAAAGGCTAGAAGTAGTCAAGCTATAAGTACGAAGTTGTCTGAAGAACGTCTAGTGCCCCCCTTTTGTCCCTAGTGGGACAAAAATATATGTAACAGCGTTACGTTTGTTTTTCTCTAGGTCCGAAAATTTAAATTTAAATTTTTTAATTGAAAATTTAGTTTTATCTCAAAACAAAGGCCGAATTAGTGATTAGTATTAAAAACTACGTCCGGTGATGGGCTCCTACCGATTTCCCGATGAAAAACAAAATTTGACCAGCGAAGTGTCTCGTTACGTGGACAAGCCTCATAACTGTAACTGTTCATAACTGTAGGTAAATATTCTAGAGTGATTGATCTTGTACTTATTGCATGCATTTTAAGGATGTCTCTGTTCTTAAAATGTATGGAAATCGTAGACGACTAACTCACTCTAGAATATTTGCGTACAGTTATGAGCAGTTACAGTTCTAACTAATTGTTACATGCAATGTGGAGAGTAATGTCCGATGATGTTCCTTGCTCGAGCAAGAGACAGAACATTATGCCATATCATTAGACATCTAGGTTGTCTCCTTTTTGCAAGAACGACTGAGATACGTGGTATAGATGGTCAAACTGTCATTTACTTTAGATCAATTAAAACTATTAGAGCATTCTTATTCGCATCTGAGCTTCGATGTAAATGAATGTGTACCAAGAACGCTTCGTATCGGATCGATTTGCATTTTCAATCAGTCCGTTGGTGTGCAACTTTATTTTTAGTTTATTTTATGGTTTAGAGAAAGACAGAGTGATAGATAAAACACATGATTATAACCACTTTTAATCACTCATTTTTTGCATGCACTTCAACATCGTTTGATCTTCTTCTGTATTCGTCCTGAAGAAAAAAACAGTAACAATTAGATGTAGAAAAGACGAATTCACTCACATGTGTTAACATAAACTCTTATCAATGGAAAATTTTTGCACGCGATCATTTCCTGGATCGACAACATAGAGATTTCCGTCAAGATCGAATGCTAAATCAGTGGGCTCACTAAGTTGATCAGATCTAGAACCTTGACCACGACCACCGATAATGACATTGCCGGATGTAGCTCCAAGTGGCCATCGCATTATTCGATGATTATTAGTATCAGCCACATAGACCGTACCCAACTGATCGACAACAACACTCATCGGCGTATGTAATTGGTATGCGCCACGACCAGAAGATCCATCACCAGCAACAATCGAGATTTGTGTTGTTCCATTATCCACTTTTATTACTCTGTGGTTCCACTGATCAGCCACAAAGACAGACTGATTGAGATCAATGGACAGTAAGCCAGGATGATTAACTTCTGAAGTAATCACTTTCCCAACTGTCTCACCAACACGCCATTTTTTCACAATGTTCGCACTCCACTCAGACACATAGAGTGATCCTTCATTATCTCTTGCTATGCCAGTAGCAGTGATTTTGCTAATAATTGTTTTTCCACTTTGAGCATTTCGAGACCATTGTTGAACCCGTTGATTGCCATAGTCACTAATGTATATTGTTCCATCTTGATCGACGACAACATCAGTAGGGTAATTCAATTGATCATCACGGGTTCCTTGTCGTTTTCCACCTGCAACTAGCTGACCACTCAAAGCGTCACGCTCCCATTTCATCACACGATTATTATAGCGATCTGTCACATAAATAGTTTGATTCTCATCAACAAATAATCCAAATGGCCCATTTAGCTGAGTGAATTCTGATCCACTGCCGTTGCCACCAGCCACAGTTCGGCCGTTTTGAGCCCATGTCGCAGTTGCACAAATACCCACATCAGTTGTCACTGGTGAAGATAGAGCTAAGGAAGTAGAAAAGACAAAAGGTGTCAACCTATTGAATACAACAGATTTTTTTTCTTGTTGATTGAGTTGCAATTTGATTCTATTTTGTCACTATCCGAAAGATTATGGTTGATCGGCATCTTGAACACTATATCTTTATAGGCTCTGACATTTTATATTACAGTAAAAGATTTTTCTAGCAAAAATGATAAACAGAGAGGCAAGGTTTGCTGTGCGATTTCTATGAGATACGTTCAATATCAATGAAGCAGAAATGTCAGTATCAGTGGTCGTTGTCAAATGAATAACAACTATTTGTCGAATTAGAGTACACATAAGTCATCTTGTAACCTTTGATACTTTCAAATGGTAATTTTATTCCCACAAATTATGTTTGTCTAAACGTTTCGATGCTTTGCATCTTCATCAGTAGACACGATAAATTAAAAAGAGAATAAAAATTTTTTAAAAAACATCAAACACGAAAAAGACTCTTATCTAGAAAGTAGAACATAAACTATAATTCTTATAATACGTAAAAAATTAGGCTAAAACTCATGATAGAAGCCATCATTTTTTTATCACTTTTCCACCTTTCCTAGGTCTAAGATTATGAGCTATAGCTCCGTCGAAACAGTTGAGTAGTGGAAAAGTGAAATAAATCTTAAAAATAGTCTATTATCTGAAAGAGTACTCGGTGTGACAAGCAGAATAGTCATCAGCTCCTGTTCTATCAGTTCTTCTATCCAGCAAAAATTTTCAGAGAAAAAAGAAAAGAGTGTGTTTTACCTGAAAGCTTTTGCAACGATAAAAGTGCTTCAAAATCTATTGAAAAATTGTCAAGTTCCTAGAAATACTTAGCTATCACTCTAAATCGCTATTCATCAAAAAGATTGCCCTGTACAGAGGAGAAACACTCAGCACTTCTGAGACTGAAAACCTTTAATTAACAGGGACTATGCTATTGACAAAGAAAAAACTGATAGTCAATTTTGCTGTTAGACGAAAGCTTCTTCTCTATCAGGTGAATCATTTCAATTTTGACTACCTTCCGAAGTTCTTCACATCATTCTGTATCTGGTGAAGCCCTCATCTAATCAACGACATACACTTTTACTGTTGCCCGTGCAAATTAAAATAATGATCCTATCAAATAATGTTGTTTGTATCCTGTCTGCATTTAAGTAGAGATTTGATCGATAAAAGAAGTAAAACAACTACGTAGTAACGTTTATAGTGAAGATGAGCCGCTCTTGATTTTTGCAATCTCACTGCAATGCTATTTCTATGTTTTTTTAAATTTTCTTGTTCTAGAGACTAAAACACTTACGGGCAGTTGAGGCTGACGTGGTCGTGGTCGTAGCAGTGCTTGTGTTTAGTGTTATTGTAGTGTTCGCCGCTACGTATCAAAAGAAAACAGTGTTTAATCAAACAGCTTTTGAGCAGATACATTTAGTTCCAACATTCAATGGAATAGACGTATCAAAAGATTTCGAAAGAAGAACAACACTGCAGATTAGTCGGAAAAGTGAAGTTGTCACCTCAACACCACCTGTTGAAAGATGGAAACCTTTCGGCTACATCTGGGAATCTAAGGAGAACATTTATACACCACGTTGTTTCTTTCAAAGATACATGCCTGTATGTTTTTGATTTATTAAAGTCTAGTTTGAGCTAGACATGTGGAACTCCACGTATCTTCTATAACTAGAGACTTCATTCGATCCTTGTTTATCACGAGTGATTGAGCTTCCAAAGTTTTTCGCTGAGCTAATTATAGTGAAACTGAAGCTTATTTCATGCAGTCTCAAGAGTAGAAGCAAACTTTGGGACTTCGTTTGAACTTTGAATGTTTCTTGGACATTTGAACTTTTTCGGATATTTTTAAAGACGTTTTTGGGCTTCAGGTGAGTTTTGGGATTATAGATGGACTTTCGCAGTCAGTCCCTAATGGGGCTAAAATGTTCCTACCAAACAAGAGCAGAAATGAGAGAGAGAGAAATTAAGATCATGAATATCAAAATAAATCAATGCGCTCACAGAAAAGCGCATTTTCTGAACAATTCTTTTAGCTATCTTCTCGAAAGAGAAAATCAATGAGAAAAAGACATCTGTATTCAAGCAGGATTATTCATAAACAAGCAGTATCTGTCAGAGGGAACAGGGCAGAACAAGTTCGGATTGAAACTTACACTCACCGTTTTGTAGTGAGTTCCATAAAGTCCTTCCATCGTGTACATTCTGCTCAGCGCAAAATTCGAGTTCTTTCAACCTGGCCTGCTTACGACCTTAGGTTAATCTTCTCTGATTAGTCCAAAAAATTAATACAAATACCCGAAAGTATTTTCTAGAGGTAAAATTGTTTTTTTTTCATCCATGATCACTTGGTCGAGGAGTACAGCATTTTAAAAATAATGAGCTGGCTATTTAGCTGGGATGTTGCGGTATTGTTAGGATCAATAACAAAGCAAGCGAAAGGATGCAGATAAGAAATATGTCGGAAAGCACCGTGACAAGTTCATCAAAACTACCTGGCAAAATATGCTCTGAAAATGCAACAGAAAATAGAAGAAATCCAAAAATGGATGAAAATACACAGAAAAATTTTTTCATGGATCCAAACACAAATGCTACCGATTCAAGCACAGACGTTACCGACACAGACACCAAGAATTTGGGTGATTTCCATTTCTACATCCTAGTCTTTCAGTCTAGGAAATAAATCCTGGACCATCCGTTAGATTTTTCCACAGAATTCTATTCTACAAGTAGTAAACCAAAAGAAATTGTTATTATGAAACGAGTTCGGTGCTACCGCCACTATGAGTCGCCTCTTTTGTAACTATCCATGTAAGTTTTGACTTCTCTCTAGATGTACGATCATGCATTCAGTACATACATGGTGGGATCGAGACAATCTGTCGAAATAACACGTACGTCAATATAAGTAAATATTGATCATTCGTCGTATGACCCACGCTTTTTCATTCTTATTTTACATATTCAGAGACGAATTAAGCGCGATACATGAAAAAAATGCTCAGAATTCTATGATATCGATGATAAAAGCATCAGGAAGTAAGCAGAGAGTAAGAGCATGACTGAGCTCGTTTTTTTCTTACTATCGATGGATTTTTAACTCTTTTATCTCAATCAGTTTGGAATAGTCGAATCTACAGGTAAACCAGGAAAACTAATATGTAAGCATGCATGATCTGTCGCAAAAGTACAGAGGTCTTTTCCGGCTTCGAGTGCTGAGGATCAAGATTGATACTACCTGAATGAGAAGTTCATATTCAGTATACTACTAAACATATCCTAAAGCGGAACATTTAGCGCTCACATGGGGTGACAAATAGATGGAATGTTTAGTCACTCTAATTCTAACAGACACAGTTCTTGTGTAATCTACGGCTTCTCCTATGATGTTTTACCATTCCAATCGCAAATTTGTTTTTCTTGCGACCATACGAGGGGCTGTGAACAGTATTGCAAATATGCGTAACCATTTGAACAATGCCAAAATGAGTGAGGATTATTGATATTGGAATAAAGCCCATCACTTCCATTTGGGCATGTGAAACCATAAACGTAATTATACCAGTAACAACCAATAAGAAAGTAAACGGTGAGTCGTATCATCTTTCTTTCAAACTACTGCACAATTTATTATGTCAAGTGAGAACAATGAAGTAGCTTCTTTTCGCAGATGTTTCATTTCACACGCATACTCATACTTGACGAACAAAGAATAGTTTATCATTTACAAATAGTGACACGGCACACAAATCCTTCATTCACTACAGAGATTTGAATTAGATAGCAAACGTTTCAGACACTTTCCACTTTTATCGCTGTTTTGGCGTTTGACACCTAACTGTTATGTCCCGCGACCTTTTCGCGTTATAAAATATCCGATCACATTGATAAAACGTAATAAAACATATAACACTTAGAAGGAAACTTAGTGCTTTGTTAATTTTGCACCGGAGCAGCCAGAAACATCGTTCAATAAATTTTCAAGGTTATTTCAGTAGAGTAAAGATGCGCACAATAGTTTTTTATGTTCAGAAAATGCAGGCCCATTCAAGGATAATTCTTCTTCTAATAACAGTGATACCCAAGTACAACAATCACATCCTGTAGAAGATTTGAATAAACTTGATTAATATTTTTTGTTACAATTAAGACGCGAAGTTATGTTAAGTATTAGAACAAATCAATTAGTTAGCAGTTCGTTAGAAAACGTTGTTGACTTATTTTACGCACAAGTGCTATTTCACGAGATGGTTCGGAAATTCAGCATTTGCTAAGTTTTATAACAGCTATGTTTAGAAAACCATCCGAATGGATATACATTCATGAAAAGTTGCGGAGAGAAATTTAATTTAGTACATCTGTTAGAAGTTTCTTTACTGGATGGAGGCTGTTTTTTCTATGTTTATGTTAAGCCAATCTTAACGCATACGTTAAAAAGAAAGAATTTTTCTGCGGGTTAAATCATGGTCTGAAATAAAACCGAACCAAATACAGTATGAAGCTACGGATTTTTTGTTTTCATACAGAGATGGTCAGTATAGCCAAAAGTCGGGATATCAAAAACAAATTTTTAATCCAACTTTATACTGAAAAAGTCACTTGTGTGTCACCCTTAAGAAGCCTTCAATCAGAATATAAAACAAACATAATTTACATTCGACTAGATGATCGTCTAGAAGAGTTGTAGTCCTCTCTCTGGAACATTCACGTTGTTGTATTAGTTAATTAGAAAATTTTTTTAAACGTCTAGATATAATGAAAAACATCGTTGCTTCTTTAACAGATACAAATGAGAAACAAGAATTAAGTTTATTTTATACTCGCACTGGCTACGCATATCGTTCGAAAAATAGATATCATAAAGCATTAGAATTTCATAGACAAGCACTAGGTGTAAATCATATTCTTCTAAATCAACATAGATATTTTCAATTGAATTTAAGATTGATGCAGCTGTATGAATTGAGCCTGGAGTGTTAGAATTCATTAACACTACATATACAGCTTTATAATTGGCAAATGCTTCTTCCCATTCACCTTCAAGTTTATGGTACATATTTAAAACGTAAGAACAAATTGCCCTGGATGGTGGTTACCACGAATTGTTGTGTTTTGGAGTTATCTGATTGATTTTTTCCAAAAACTCAGACTTAACGTCGGCGGCGAATAAAACTTAGCGGTTCACGGCGATATTCCGCGAATCTGTATGTTGCTGAGCGTACTAGAATGTCAATCTACAGAAATATAGACAGCTAAAAAGGGACGATTCTTTTCACATATTCACACAATGAAGATGTAATATACATGGATATGGTATGTAGCACCTTGAAAGCATGAAGTACTCAATAGTTTGCAAACATTCTTTATTTTCGATGAAAGGGGGTGAAAAGACGGCAATGAATATTTTGTTCGACTGTTGTTATTTAAAATTATTGTAACTCATACACCCTAAAAATGAATTTACGTGTATCTGAATTAAACCATTATACATATCATCATCAAACATACAAAATTTAAAAAAACTTAAGAAACACCTCTAGTGGGAAATGTAATTAAGATAGAAAATTCGTTTAACCACGAATGCTGACACACGCTATTAACTAAAGCATATATTGTTTCCGTCGGTAAGATAGTTTACAGAAGGATATTACTGTAAATTTTCAAAATTTAAGATTAATCTAACAAATGTAAGCTAAAAAGCTGTAGGATTCATACTTCTAATATTTTATTTGTATTTTAATAGAATTCCAAATTGACTCACATCTTCAGGAGACACTGACAAGTCATAGATACATGATCAAGTCGAAAAAATGGTCCGTTTGCTTACTCGCTGAGGTTTTGAAGAGGGTTTCTGGAAAACCTTCCTCGCAACCGCTTTTTTCGACTCGATCTTGTATCAACCCAGTCAGTCATAGTCATTCCAGAAAAGCGCAAGAAACTCTGTTTACGAAAAATTTTACGCGTTTAGTGAGTTTCGAATAATAATGCGCAAGAAGCTGCGAGTGTGTAGAAATAAACCGCAGGAAACGCTCGTTGCCGTAGAAATAAAGGCTTTACACGCGTGTTCTTGTGGTTTATATTTATACACTGGCAGCTTCTTGCGCGTTATTATTCGAAATTCACTAAACGAGTAAAAGTTTTTGTAAACAGAGTTCCCTGCGCTTTTCTGAAACGACTATGACTGACCGGGTATGACTTGTGTTCAGTGTCTCCTGAAAATGTGAGTCAGTTTGGGCTAAAAATGGTCGAATTATAAAATTGCACCTAGACTAAAACCTCTAAAACTACGCCGCATTTTTAGCACTTGCTGTTGTATCTTTTATATCCACTCACTCTCATCTTCCCATCCCCCACCCCTCCCGGCCGACGAACACATTTTATGTTCATTTGTGAAAAACACGCAAAACTCGCCGCTCCCTTTTCATTTTCTCTGCGTACGATTGACAAAAATGGGGCATAACTAGTCTTCTTTACATTGCCAGTCTTACGACTGATGAACCCTGCTTTCCCTACTATCCACTCAGTGAATGCCGAGATGGCTGTTGACTGGAATCCGTGCATCCGAGTCTTACCAAGTCTTTTGCTGTACACAGAAAAAGCTTTTTCAACACTTTTTACTTAATAAGAATAATATTATTCTTATTAAAAATTTTCACCTTACGAAATAATTCTTCACTTTTTACTTATAAAAACTTGTAAAAGGTGCTACGTATGAGACAAGTATACATAGATTGTACTTGTATCTTCTTTTCAATATAAAAAATTTAACTACAGAATACAGACTGACCTAGTGTCTTAGTCATCTCTTTGAATATTTTCGCTCTCGTGGTTAACAAGCAATTTTCTGTTTTTCTCTCTTGGGATTGACTTATGTAGGGAATTGAAAATGTGACAGCCATTTTTTCGTATTATACGCACACACAGACAGCCATTTTGTAATACCCAACACTATAGTCAAGGGAACAGAGTATACAAGGCAACACTCGTCTGCACTCGCTCGGTCCGTTGACTTTTGGAACTTATATCTGTGAACGACCTCCCATGACTTTGAAACCAAGACAATACTCACACCACCTTTCGGTCGGCGTTTGCTAGAGGACTATCTAAAATATGTTATGAATTTTTCTCTGATTTAATGTGTAAGCTTTGTAGTCTAATAAAAATCAAAAAAGTTTTGTCGATACTCTCCAAAGATCCCGAGAGGTCTAAACATATTGACAATGGCAGTATTTCAACTGCCATAGTTTATAAAAAAATGTTTTCAAGTTTGATTTCTGAGGGCTTTTACAATAAACTTCTGCTTGAACGAGTGGCGATCTTCAAATTTCTTACAAATTTCAAATAGATCTTTCTCTTAAGAGTATAACACTCTTCTGAACTCGTACGAATTCAAAACAGCATAACACAGTTTTCAACTCGTATTAGAATATACCACTCATTAGGACTCATAACGAGTTCAAAACAGTTTGCCAGTGTAATAGAAGACATTAGTATTTTTCATCTCTTGACGAGTTTAAAGACTGCCACCCGTGTTGATATTGATAAATGTATTGATTATATTACATCAATTGATAAAGAAAAGGTCATTCTTATTCTGTGTGATATGAATATTCTTTCACTACAACATCACTCAAACATATCCATTATATACAGTTTCTGATGCCGAATCAGAAAAAAATCCTTTATGAGATCTAGAACATAAATATTAGTCGAAAATTTGAGTTTTGCAAAAACCTAGTAATTTTTCGAGTTTTGAGGTGTTTCGAGTTTTTTCAATATTTGGACGCGGAAAAACTTTTTTCAAAAATTAAAAGTTACATATTCGTGACCAACGTCGAATTCTACATCAAATGATGTGCAATATATTAGGAAACAAATTTCGTTCGAATTTTCAACCACGTGCACCTTACAAGTACAAATTTTAATTTTGTATGTTTGATTAACAAGAGTTGAATTATTTTGATTCAGATACAGATAAGTTTTTACGGCATATGACTTGCATAATATCTATGGTGGACTTAAAAGATTGACGAATTTATTAGTAAACTGTATAATTTGAATTTATGTTATGTTGATGTTCTTCATTCTTGAGCATTACCGTCTGTAGGGGTAAATATAGACGCTATTCCCGAATGATTAAATCAGTTTATGTTTAGTATTTTTGTAAATTATTCATTGCCAATATTCAGGGATTTGTGCAGTTAATCGTTCTTTTATACCTATTGTAGTAGAGTCTGCTTCTTTAGTAGATTTTAATGGCTCTTAATATTGCTTATTTAAAGTTTTAGTTTTTTAGACTAAAGATTAGTTAATACATGACAAATCTTTTTCATTTACTAAAACTAAGTTCATGGCCATTTTTTAGGAGTTTTATTGTTATATTATCTTTTATTTATGCTTATGTTAGTAAATTCAATAGGAAAAATATAGTTTTTATACTACTAATACTAGTATCAATAATAAATATTTGATTTAAGAGGGTGTATTCCCTACGTAATATATGTTTTTTGACCAGATTGTAGAAGAGATAAAACTGTATACACTTTGAAGTTTTTTGGCAAACGAAGTCGTTTTCATAGAGTTATGACTTTTATAAGTTATCCCTAGTGAATGTACTCGAGATCAAGTACTTAGTTACTTGCAAATTTTCAAAAGTACTTAGTTAACCACCTGTCAAGCATTTTTAGACTTAATACGTGCCAACAGCTCTAGGTACCCATGAATAATGCGAATTAATTTCGTTTAGAGCTTTAGTTCTACCACCATGTGGTACATTTAAATGACATTCTTTCATTACAATAAACTTCAGTTCAAAAATATAAAAGTTTCTAAACTAAAGGTACTTGAGAAAGAAACACATTTAACATACCGCACTATCTCGAGTTGAGTTAAATGCTTCATCATTATCTATATTCATATCACATGGCCGTTTGGAAGTAAAACTTGGAGATCATTCAAGATCATAATGTGAGTATAATAATTCATTTGCAGACGTTATGATTTCAGTTGGTGTTGGTGGTGCTGATACCGTTGCAAATGTAGGATTATCTATGGTTGTGCTGTGCGTCGTATCTATACCAGAAGGAACAATACAAATCTAAAAACAATTTATATGACAAAAGTAAACCGACTGATTAGCAAAGGCAGTATTTCAAACTTGATGATTTACTTCCAGATAGACTAATTTCAAATCGTGCCGCTTTTCGGTTTTGTTTGATTTTCTTTTTTTCTTTCTTTTTATGTTTTGCTCCTTCTCTACGCTTATATAGATAGATATAGAAGGCAAGAAAGTGAGAAAAGAAGAAATTTTATTTTCATAAAACGTTCATCTATAAAAGATATCACTCCCTGCGCAATTACTCAATATTCTGTCAACTTCATGATTAAACCAAAATTGATTAAAAAATGTATCCGATCTGGATTCTACGCCAGCCCGAAGTACGTAAGTTGTATTCTAACCCACACTATTTTAAAAATGTCAGTATATATAGGTATTCGAGTGCGCTGATCATCGTGTTGATGTCACCTTTTTGTCTGGAGGCGGAAAAAATCAGTTAACAGAGTTTTTTCGAAAAGAACATATTTTGCCTTGTCGCTTAGAAGACTCACTTTTTCAAAAAACTCTGTTAACTGATTTTTTCCGCCTTCAGACAAAAAGGTGACATCAGCATGATGATCAGCGCACTCGAATACCTATATACTGACACTTTTTACGATTAAAAACTCGAATTTTGGGAAAAGTGAGCGACGTGACGATGCAGGTGACAAATTAAATCAATATCTTTTATCCTCGATAGTCCAGTGTACATGAGGTATGAGAAGAATTTGCAAAATGAAAGATAGCTCTTATTACTGCAATTTTCCCGAACTTGATGCATACATTCGCAAATTAATATTAGATTCCACCTCACCTGGTAAGATCCGACGCTGTTCCTTCAATACAGAAAAAATGAACTGTTATATGAAATACAAAATT